GCTGGTGTAGAAGCTGGGGTGGAGGGATTGGGGTGGGGAAGCTGGGGGGGAGCTGGGGTGGTGGGGGGGCAGGGGAGCTGGGGTGGTGGGGGGGCAGGCGAGCAGCAGCAGCAGCAGCAGCAGCAGCAGCAGTGGCAGCACAGCGAGGCAGAGGCAGGAAGACCTGGCAGCTTAAATAGAGCGGCATGTTTAGGAGAATGTGTTTGGTTGGTTGTAAGAGGGACGAGGTGCGTCACATGTTAAGGTATGATTGGTGCTCGAGTTGACTTCCTGAACTAGCTCGCAGGCTTCGCCCCATTGATTTCAGTATTTGTAGGATTTACATTTACCAAAACCTCAAGACTTGAGACCACAGTCCTTTTCTTATTTCCCATGAACACTCAAAATGTTCTTCTTTTAATCATGACTTTGGTTCTTCCCCTAACATAAACCAAGTGCTTATTAGTAAAAAAGGTTTTTGCCACAACTTAACCAACATGATTCATGTCTAATCCTAACCAACCTTAACAAAAGCGCTGTTCGATCATGGAACTGATTTAATGTTGCCCAAGCAGTTTGCAACGGTTTAGAAACAAAGACACAACTATGTGTGAAAAGGCTTGTATGTGTCGCTCTACAACACAATCAACACTTATGCCCCGGCCACACGAGGACGAAAACGGCCGTTTGCGTTACTGTTTAGTGTCATATAGACCATTCGGCCACACGAGGACGACCGCATACGGCACTAAACGACTGAGGAAACGATAACGGGTCCCAAGGTGGATAGAACGGCATACGCAACGCTCTGGGGGGTCAAACAGCTCCGTGTGTGCGCCCTATACGATCATTTTCTGATAATGATTGCGCAATAGCCCCGCCTCTCCCCACCTCTGCTGCTCACCTCCGCGTACCCCGCGCCATTGCTGATGTGTTTCGCCATCAACAACAACAATGGCGGATCGCAGAGTTGCTATCGTGCTCCGGACGCTACTGACCATGCTGTTCTTTGTGCAACATCTACAGCAGACTTACACATCCGGGGGGATCTTACTCGCTGCTTTTGTGGATATGTACTGCAGCTTCAGCGATCATTTTCTGATAATGATTGCGCAATAGCCCCGCCTCTCCCCACCTCTGCTGCTCACCCCCGCGTCAAAGTAAACTGCACACTGAATTCAGATTATTTATCTTTCTCTCGATATGGACATAAACGCGAGTGAAGTCTAATCTGACAGGACGGAGACACCTCTCAAACTACCTAAACTAGTTATAAATATGTTTATTTTTACTGTCGGCCGGGTCACTCATTACTGGATCAGCTGCTGCATGAGACAGACACTGGCGCTGTCCAAAGAGAAGGAGGAAAAAGAGAGACTCCGTGTATTTATATTATTATATTATATAGAGTCATTATTCATTTGTTTTAAAGCTCAATAAATAACAAAGAAGACCTTTGACCGGCACTTTTATAATTTTGTCCGGAAGATTTAAACTTGAATACACGTTGACTGGCGAAAAACTCTGCCCGGTTCCCTCGGCCCCCACCGCGGAGAATAAACAGAAGGGCAACCATGACAACCATGCTTCTTCTGCTTTTGTGGAGGAAGTTACAGCGCCACGTACAGGCTCCTGCATATGTACTGCAGCTTCTCCAGTGGTTGGAGCTAAACGGAGCGGTCTCGTGTGGGCAAACACTATCCGGATAACTATTGCGTGTGGACGGAAGCTTGTTTGCGATTGCGTTTGCGTTAATCCTATGCGTTTAGCCGTTTTCGTCCTCGTGTGGCCAGGGTCTCAATCACACATGCATCAGAAGACTTTCACGGTCTTGTTATTTACTGCAAAAATCGTTCCTGGCAGATAAGAAATAATTAACTTAAAAACATTGAAAGATAAGCAGCTACTAGAAAAACCTACTTCCACACATAATCAGGTGCTGAAACTGATGTGTGATACTCAGCCAGACACATGTTATAATGACTTTATTTACATAACTCACAGCGACAAGAAAACTGAGAGAAGGAGTACTTTTACATGTATGACCTTCCCACACTACGGATGCAAAGTCCCGCACACTTTAGTATAACTCCTCTGTGTGTGTGTGTGTGTCAGAGAACGATTGCCGTGTGTTTCTATCTGCGTCTACATCTGCACGAGGGCTTGTTTGTGCGAGCTTGTGCCATCGGTTGTTTACAGGTTGTTTACGCTGAAAGGAATGATTCTAAATCATTAGTGAAGGGGGCTAATTCTCCCGTTAAGCCGTTATTCCAACACTAATGGAAATAGTGTTCAGCAGAGTGAGTGAGGGTACATGTGTGGAGGAGGGATGGGGCGGGGAAGGTGACGAATATTTAAACATGAAGGAAGAAAATAATGTGAGGAAAAATTGGAGGTGAAGAATGGGAGAAAATGGAGCCTTGAAATGGTAAATGGGTTGAAGAGGGAAAACAAAGGGAGAGGAGAGGAGATATAAATTGATAAATGTGGATGCAGAAGAAGATGGGGAGCAGTGGAGAGAGGAAGAGATGAGATAGAAGAAAGTGTGGGGGGGGAAATGGAAATATTGCCTTGTGTCTTTGTGTGTGTGTAGCTTCATGCATCAGCATCACGCTCGCTCATTATTTTATTCCCCCCTCTTGCGAATGAGCAAATGTTGCACAGAGACAAGCTGTTTGCAGGCGCAGGATGTATTTGAAATAGAGGTAATCAAAAAGAAAAAGGGACACAATATGTGAGAGGGATGAAGAAGAAGAAGAAGGGGTCAAACAATTAGGACAATTATTGCCCGAGTTCCAAATTAGTGGTGTCAGTGGTGGCAGAAGATAATTCCCATTTAATGCTTCGTTTAGCTCTAAAATGCCACACCAGGGTTATAGATGAGATCTGCATGAGAAGAATGGTGGAAGTGTGTGTGTGTGTGTGTGTGTGTGTGTGTGTGTGTGTGTGTGTGTGTGTGTGTGTGTGTGTGTGTGTGTGTGTGTGTGTGTGTGTGTGTGTGTGTGTGTGTGTGTGTGTGTGTGTGCGTGGCCATGCGTGTGTGCCAGAGAAAATGCTGTTGACGGTAATTTGATGAAAGTTGACAGGTAATTTATGAAGCATATTTTTGAGTAAATGATTTTCCCCGGTCGTACTTCCTCAGTCATTCTAAACTGGTAATTGGATTTCCCTCACTTGCAAGGTAGTGAATTAGGAGTAAACTAGTTAATGAAGGACTGACTGACAGTGTGTGTGTGGTGCCGGCAGGGGGTGTGTGCATGTGTGTGTGTTCCCACAACAACATGGTTGTGTGTGTAGATAGGTGCCGTCTCTCAGTGCAGTGGAAGTTAATGGCAAAGTTTTGGTCTGCTGAACTAATACCCCACTATTACTAACCACATACTGCTGTATTCCGACTCAGTCAATTAAGGATCGTGGACACACATGCACAGGCAAACCTCAATTAAACCAGAACACTCTCTCCCCCCCTCACCCACTTACTTTCTCCTCTCACTCACTCTAATTGCCAGGAGTGTCTTTTCTTTATGAAGCTGTGTGTGTGAGAGAAAGAGTTGCCAGAGGAGAGAGTAAAAGAGTAAAAAGGCAAAAAAGATAGATCTGACAATGACAGCAAGCTTGTTATTCTCATGGGGGAAAACACACTGGGAATAAAACCACACACACACACACACACACACACACACACACACACACACACACACACACACACACACACACACACACACACACACACACACACACACACACACACACACACACACACACACACACACACACACACACACACAGATGTCTTCCTCAAACAAGATATTATACTGAATACCAAGCTTTGACACAGACTGAGCCTTCATCTCCACTGCATACAAACCATTCAGAACTCTAGAAACTCCAGTAAACCCAGCCATCAGACAAATCAAGCGCCCCTAATCCACGACAAACCTAACACAACTCCACCGTTTCACTAGCCAACCTAACTAATCCAAACCAAACTGAGAGGAAACCCTGCCAGGCCTCGCTCGAACAAATTACAGCCAAACTCTCTGAGTCCAGACGAATCTAATGCAAATGAATGTTATCCAAGCTAATCTACTGAGCGTGAGCCCAGCCAGGCCACAGCTCACATCCAACGCTCTGTTTCAGTTCCTCCATCTGTGGAGCCGGGTAACACCGGATGAAAGACACAGCTCAAATGTGGGGGAATTAAAGCCAAGCCACCGTAGGGATTGGGATTCTGGCTTTAAACAACATGAATTAGTAGGCGGCAATAAGGAGACGGAAATAATAACTAAAACTAAGTAAATACATGTTTTATAGTTACACAAAACAGCAGAACAAGGCAGCAGTATCATGTAGGACCTTGTTGTCTTTTGAGTAAAAACGACTTAAACCAACTATGCCTTATATTTACACAATAACTTCATGGAGCATTAACAGCACCAGTATGCTTCTCATCAATCTGCCTCAAACCTCCAGCAGATATTTTCTTCTTATCCTGCAGTTAGACTTTGATTGCCTTGCCAGTGTTCGAAATATCAATCATCACATCATGCCAAACACTAAGACTAACCAAATACAATGTTTGCATCCCAATTTACCTCCTGCAAATGAACATTTCTCTGGAATACAACCTGTAACTCCAGTCATTGCAGAAAGTAAGTATTTATATGATCTTAACCGATTCTAATGAAACTGCACACTCATTTGTGTGAGATTATTTCCATGACTTCTCCAAGACTTGTGAGATTAGACATTTTCCCCAAACTTTTCCAGGCCTTGCAATAACTCATTTAAAATGTGAAGATTTTTGCTGGTTTCTCATGACCGTACGACCCCAGTTTAATGTGTGTCCCCTGTGCAGCCTCCCCAGACGAAGGAGACGGGAGGAGTGTGTTATTAATATGAATTGCACATCACATTCTGGCTCTGTGACGAACAGAACAGCCTGCCTCCGTCGGTGATGTGTTCTCGAGTCAGCGGTGAATAAAGATGCGTCTCACCTGGAGTGTTGAGCAGTCGGGACATGCGACAGCTGTAGGAGATCAGCTGCTCGCAGTACTCTGCACTGGTGGTGATGGATGTCACCTGAAAACACAAGCACACACAAGTCTTTTTATTTTATCTTATTCAGACAGACAGGACAATTTTATGTAAGAATTCGAAATGAAACATAGTGCCCCGTAATGCTTTCATATAGCTTCCGGTGTTTTAGAGAAGCTGAGAATGGAACAAGTGAGCCATACAAATTAGGAAGGGACATCATTACAGCAGGGATATGCAACTGAACCCTGTCATCTTGCAGGTGAAAAATGCCGTCACTCGCCATTGGAGTGTTACATTTTTTAAAGTTCATGCAGTTTGCTTGTGGCTCAGAGTGACAACTCCTGACAATTACAAAAATAAATCTTGCTCGTGTCTTTACACAACATGTAGAGCGATGCACCACACAGATGAAGGTATGGCTTCTTTATTTAAACTGGATCTGAAGAGTGTTGTATTTGTTGTCCCTAGCTGTAGAGTACATGACGCTGCTGATGGTGTAGGTTGGTCCAAACAGGCACAGAATAACCACGGTTACAGACTCCATTTAGACTGTGTGTTTACAGACACCACAAGCTATAGGGAGAGGTGACTCATTTCACTCTTATCATCAGAGACTAGAAAGAAGGCCGGAACAAAGAATAATCAAAATGAAGAGAACTTGGTTTTATACGTGGTTCACCTTCAATATTTTCTACTTGAATGCTCCGACTGTCACTGTGAGGGACTGTGGGAGTTTATTCTTCCCAGTGTGGCTTCAGTGAAAACAATAAAGGAGTTTCTGATCTGCAGACAACTGAGAAGACAGCCTGACATACAGCAGGAGAACATGTTGACAGTGCAGCGAAGATAAAAATAAATTCACAATTCAACCAACAACAGTGTGTGAAAACTGGTGGAAGTATACTCTGTGTGAGACGTGCCTGCAAGTGTGAGATATCGTCATTTAAAACAAAATAGATTTTAACTTTGCTGATTGGGAGTTTTCCTCTTAGCTTGTTGCAAAACAAATCTAAACAAATATGAAGATATAGTCTTGTTGCATGAAGTTTAAATACCTTAAAACTATGTTGAACCTCAAATTGTACAAATATTCAACAATATACCTCTAAAATATTTTTTTAATAATTGCATTTAGCTGACCCTTTTATCCAAATCAGGTTTCATAGAGCAAAAACATTTCAAATGGTACTCAACTGGCTTTAGGTAAGCCAGTCCTTTATTAGTATATAAGTGCTTTGTTAATAGTTATATTGCTCGAAGTGGAGTCGAAAGAGATGAGTTTTCAGTCTGCGCCGGAAGAAATAAAACACCAGCGATACTTAGCTCAATCAAAGTAGGATTTGCCTCCTCTTTGCCACCCTCGTGACTCCAGCAGGACTCTATTGTCTTTGTCAGTCTTACTCCAGCAGGACTCTATTGTCTTTGTCAGTCTTACTCCAGCAGGACTCTATTGTCAGTCTTAGTCTGTCTGACGCTGAAGCTGACGCTTCAGGAAAGTGCTACCTAAAATGAACACCTGATTGCTGAGTTCTCACAGCTGTGGGGCCACGTCCCTTTAATTAGTTAACTCTCTGTCAATAACTAATTGACACTGTTCTTGATTTAGTTAGTCAAATATTACACGGAGCAGCACAATACTTCCTCCATAATGTATGCTAGTATGTGAGTGTGTGTGTGTGTGTGTGGTGTGTGTGTGTGTGTGTGTGTGTGTGTGTGTGTGTGTGTGTGTGTGTGTGTGTGTGTGTGTGTGTGTGGTGTGTGTGTGTGTGTGTGTGTGTGTGTGTGTGTGTGTGTGTGTGTGTGTGTGTGTGTGTGTGTGTGTGTGTGTGTGTGTGTGTGTGTGTTACCTGGTCCATGGAGGCGCTGTAGTTGACCTGCAGGACGGTGCGTCTCTCTCTGCTGGAGCCCGTCACTGCAGTTTTGGGCGGCAGGTTGTTCATAACTGTCGTCCACACTTTGTCCTCTAAAACACAAACACGTTACCAAGTTAAACTCAACTGTGAGAATAAATTAGTTAAATGTAGTGTGATAGTTAAAGTCAGTACACACAGAACTGCAGTTTGTCTGTCATGGCGGTGGCGGTGTAATCTAAGTTACAGCTATGAGCCTCCAGAGTTTAATTGACACTTCTGTGCTGTTAAAGCATGAGCCAGTCACTCAGATATCTCCCCGTTCATTCACACTGTCAGTCAGGGAATGTGTGTGTGTGTGTGTGTGTTTCAGGCCTCTGAGGTGTGTGTGTATGTGTGGGAGGAAGAGACACTCTTAACATTTCTGAGGTTGTGTGAGAGAGCTATTCAGCGTGACTAAGGGCTAGCCAGTGGAGTGCAGTGACATTTCATTAAAAGTCTCGCCTTTGCTCTGCCTGCATGCTCTGCTGTTCCAGACTCTCCACTTATTCCACTCTGTGTGTGTGTGTGTGTGTGTGTGTGTGTGTGTGTGTGTGTGTGTGTGTGTGTGTGTGTGTGTGTGTGTGTGTGTTTGCTTGGAACTCAGCAGGTGTTTGTGTGTGTGTGTCTTTGTGCAGAAGTGTCACTCAAATCATTGGAGCACTCTTAGCTCTGCATAACAGGCCCGTTTCAAATGCGCTTGTGGCGAGTGTGTGTGTGTGAATCTGCGTGTGTGTAGTAGCTGCTCCTTCAGAACTAAATGTCAGCAGCTGTGGCCGCATTGCCATGGAAACCTTAGGTATAGCAGTTTAAGAGTGCCGCCGTCTGAGGTTAAGAATGAAGAGGGGGGTGGAGTTTTCTCCCATCACAGGTCACTGGCTGGAAAGAATGGGGACCTGCACAAACACACACACACACACACACACACACACACACACACACACACACACACACACACACACACACACACACACACACACACACACACACACACACACACACACACACACACACACACACACACACACACACACACACACCACACACACACACACACACACACCACACACAGAGCTCCAAGCGCAAACACACACACACACACACACACACACACACACACACACACACACACACACACACACACATTGATTCCAGGCACTAACGCACACACCTGTCATGTTGCAATTGACTTTGAAGGGGCCGAGGGGTCCGCTGCCGTCAGGGTCGATCCAGTAGGTGTCAGAAGACCGGCCACGATGCTTATAGGCCTCACAGGACGGCTCATAGATAGCTGGGGGGGGAAGTAAAGGGACACATGAGCAGTTAAAGGAAGAGGTAACAAGACAAAAAAGTCAATAGCCACTGAGGTTATTATTACACACCAGAAGAATAAAGAAATACAAACCATAACTTTGGACATGGCTGAGTGACAATTCAATATAAGATAAAGCTTTATTTATCCCCGTAGGGAAATGTAGGTGTCATAGAAAGAAAAACAATAAGAGACAAAGCTAAGAGCAAACACAGAGATAATAAGAATAAGAAAGGATATCTCTCTGTCAGGGGTATTATGGATAAACAACTGGCCATATTTCCACAATTCCATGTGGACATGGATTGGATGCATGGAGAAAAAGGACCGTTGTTTTGCATTCTTGTTCTGTTGGTTGGAAAAATGAAACAACTGGGCAAATTCGCCAACATGTCGTCTAAATGCTCATAGCAAGGTAGGCTTAGGAATCACAGTGTACTACATGATATTATACTATATTATGTTAACACCATATGAGGCCAACAGCTACGATAAATACCACAAAAAGTAAGGGTATACTTCTCCAAAGATAGCTTGCATATGAAAAGTATGATACATTCTGTCAGACCAAAGACTAATTCAATTGAAGAATGTTAGGATGCATCTAAAATAGCTCATTGATGTCCTCTTTGTTTTTTTCCTCCTTCCAAAAGGCAATTTCATGCGGTTTGCCAGTCTCTTTTCAGCGCCTGTCAAGAAGTGGTGTCTTGCCGCACACTTTAGCAATCTATCTGACAGCATATTGATGTTATGTTTGTGACAGAGAGATGAGGAGAAACTGCACTTCACAGAGAGAGAAGCTTCCTTGATGAGGCGAGAGCGTTCACAGGCTTAATGCTGAGTTAAATAGGAAAAATAAGCCTTTTTTCTGTTTATTCTTAGCTCTTTATTAATACCGTTTATGTCATTCTCATCTCATCTTCCTTTCTTCCATTCTCGTTGTCTCTATTATTTTCTCTGTTTGTGGTTTCCCTCCTTGATATCTTGCTGACTACATTTTTGCGACTCTGACTAAACATTTTTCAACAGAATGCATTATCTATAAATCACTCACTAAATGTCCTGTGTAAAAATAACAATCACATGTATCTCTTATTCCTATGCGTTATTAACTGTCTTAAAGGTGGGGTAGGTACGTTTGAGAAACCGGCTCGAGATACACTTTTTGTTATATTCCATGGAATGCTCTTAACATCCCGATAGCAATGAATATCTGAAGTGCTTTGACAAAAAATCCATAAAAATCTGTGGAAGCCGTGGCGCTGTAAAAAGCACGACCAATCATCTGAGCCGGCTAAAGTAACTGGATGGCCTACCTGCCTGTCAGCCTTCCATCTGTGCACAAACTTATCTCGTGCCCTCATTGGTCATGTGCGCGTTCGTGTGTGTTGGAGGAGGGGCTCTGTGAGGAAGTGGCAGATTTTTCCCAGCTGTGTATTTTCAAATTCTAGCGCACTCGAGCTGGTTGCTCCAAAATTACCTACCCCACCTTTAAGACAGTTCTATATCAGGCTGTTTTACAGTATGATCGATGTAATTTAAAATTACTCTATTCTTCTATCTTATTTCTTCATGTTGAACAATTACAGTATGGCCAACATGTTCCCTTCCATCCTCTTAAAAGAGAACAATATGCGACCCCTAGGAGAAGGGGATGGCATTCTAACATTTTTAAGCCTTTGAAAAACCCTCTGGCTTTCTGACTCTGTTTTATTTGTGTCTTTGTGCGGGTGCTTTGGTGGGATTGCCTCTTCTCAGAACCGAACACACCACAGTCAGAAAAAAATCAAAGTTCAGACTGAGGCTCCGAGAGAGAAACAGCTTAATCACTCAAAGGAGAAACAGAGGGAGGCCAATCCAAACTGGAACAGAGCACAGTGGTGATGGAAAATAACACTCAACTACACACACACACACACACACACACACACACACACACACACACACACACACACACACACACACACACACACACACACACACACACACACACACACACACACACACACACACACACACACACACACACACACACACACACACACACACACACACACACACACACACACACACACACACACACACACACACACACACACACACACACACACACACACACTTCTACTCACAGGTGTGGCAGGTGGCCCCAGTGTATCCCGTTCCATCGCAGGTGCAGCTGAAGCTGTCCCACGTCTGCTTACAGCGGCCGCCGTGCTCACAGTGGTTAGGCATACACCTTGAGAAAGAATAAGAGAGTATTTTTATAAATATAGTACATGTGATTCCTTTTATTGTAAATGTATAAAATATGTATATATTATTATACTCAAAGTCGAGAGTATTTACATCGATAAATAAAGCAATCATAAAGCCCTCCTATCACATTCAGCCATTGTGACATGGTATCTTACTTTGAATAGAGATATTTTTGTTTCTCTTTCGGCTCTTTGCTCACACAAAGAAAGTTTTTTTTTCCAAATTAAAGTAGAGTTTATAGACTACGTGTTCAGAGTGTATAATCCAAAGCACCGATTCTGTCAAGGAATACTCATTGTTGAAAGAAATACACTTATCCAAAATTGTGACACATTTCACTACAAGATGATATAGCCAGTGTTCGAAATGGAGGGGAGCCCAAACAATTTGTGCATATTTGTGTCACACAGATTAGAAATATTGTGTTTCTGTAAATAAAAGTTCTTGAAATAAATAATAGTTATTGTTCATTACAGTTTCTGAACATTTGTTTTATATTTGTGAATATCTCTGGGTGTTGCCATCTGCACGTGGCAGCGCTGCATTCTTTACGCTACTTACGTTGCTATGGTTACGGCGGCGATGCCGGTACGGTATTTGACATTTTCATATTGATATTTTTTTAACTCTGGCTTTGTAACAAAAAATATGGCGAAACGAAAACAGCCAAGCCTCGCAGCTTTTGGATTCACAAGCAAAGAAGCGAAGGAATCTAAAATTGACAACGTGAACGGAACAACTTTTAGTTGGCCGGCTGTAAGCGGCTTTAGGGTCGAGTTTGACAGCTCCACACCGAGGGAGAGGCCTGCCGATGCGGAGCCTGAAGAGGCTTCAACAACGGCCACATCCGCCGGCGTAGTGACACCGTCTGTATTAGTAGCAGAGTGTTTTTATAGCAATTGATCGCATCCGCGCTGCTGCGCCAGTCAACAGAGCGTGCGTGTGACATATTTAGTAGCAGGATGTGCTCTGAAAAATAGGGCTCCCGAAAGCAAATGGGTAATTCGAACACTGGATATAGCATGGCTTGTTTTGAATGTTGACCACAAATTAAAAGTGTTTTTTATTGATATAAGCATAGGCTACTATGTCAAGGTAAAACAACTAAATTGTGTGTCTGCATTTATTGAAACACAATTTAAGTGGTTGTGAAAAGCAGGAGGCGACAGAATTCGGGATTCTTGATCCACAAGTTTGTGTTTCTTAAGCAAAAGAGAAGGAATAATTATATTGTCTCAATTGAGTGGTGATATTTCAACTAGGGACCTGGAATTAGGAGTGTAGTGCATGTAAACAGTGTTATACCCTCAGTGTGAACACAGCAGCACATAACAACTGAATATAAACTGAATACATCCCAGTTTCAGTTTGATCTGCCTGCGGCCTGCTGGGAAATCTCTCCCGAGGGGGGATTTCCACACACAAAATATTTATGTGATTGAAATATCCGAGTGTGATTATTTGAATGAATCAAAGCGATGTTAAGAGGAAAGCCAGCTGGATTAAAAACTGACTCATAGGAGCTGTGGGGGGCCTTTAAAGTGCCGAGTTCTTCTTTAGTCATGTAGGGAGACAGTTAAGCAGCAAAGAGACGTTTTATCTCTGGAGGGACACGAGACGATGGCTGTCTCCAGTAACTATGAGGCTGACACACAACTGTGCACTGACAGTGGAGCGTCTCTATCTGAAAAATGTAAGAAGTACTGCAGATACAGACTTTCAATATTTTCCCTGAGGTGCAAGACAAAATGGGGTAACACTTTATATTAAGGTACACAAATTCACCATCAACTAGTTGTTTATCAACATGCATATTAGCAGTATATTGGCTCTTTATTAGTCATTATAAAACACTTATTAATGCCTTATTCTACATGACCATATTCTACAAGTAATAAGCCATTAGTTGAGAGTTTTTCCTCGATAACCCTCTAATTAGTGCTGATTTGTTGCAAGTAAGGAAGTTGTAGTACATGAGTTACATACTTAATTTTGAGTTATTTAGACACAATTAACACTTATAGTTTCATGTCTTGTTACATAAGAATAGATCATATTTGTTAAGTGTTATTATGGGAGAATTACTTTTCTTGTGGTACTGCTGCCTTATTAGGCCCATATTGAGCAGCGCATATTAAGACCCAAACTCATGTACAACAACTTCCTTACTTGCAACAAATCAGCACTAATTAGAGTGTTATTGAGGAAAAACTCTCAACTAATGGCTTATTACTTGTAGAATATGGTCATGTAGAATAAGGCATTAATAAGTGTTTTATAATGACTGATAAAGAGCCAATATACTGCTAATATGCATGTTGATGAACAACTAGTTGATGGTACATTTGTGTACCTTAAAATAAAGTGTTACCAAAAATGGATATTGGGCAAGCCGTATTGTCGACATGAAATTGATCGTGATTCAGATTTTTCATTGTAGATTTATAGTTTCACTGGATGCACGTGATTGATTCATAAGTCAATGTGTAGATTTGTGTGTAATTGATGGTGTGTCAGAGACGACGTTATGGTGTGCATGGAAATGAATGTCTTCAAATTGTTCTTTGTGTACATGCAAGGGGACTGCACATTAGTTTAAAGCTAAATCTGGCATAAATCATCTCATCTCTTTTACAGATCAATGCTTGTGGTCCTTGTTTAACAAAGCCTCGGAAGAAATAGAGTTACATGGATTGTATTGTAAGTGTGGGCAGAATGAGGGAAGGACATAGCTGCTGCAGAAAGAAATGGGTAGAGAAATGAGATTTGAAATCATTTGCTTCTCTGACTGATGCAGAAATATACACTGAAGTGATAAATCACACATTTACAGTACCTGCCTGCAAATCTAATAGTGCTTTAGAAAAATGAATTAATATACGAGTGAGCTCTGAGCCCGACCTTTGGTATTTAAATAATGTTCAACCATGACTTTTTGCATGTACTGTAAATACAAAAAAGGAAATTCCTAGTAATGTATTGGAATGTTAAATCTGCATCACTAACAAGTGCAGTTTAAATGGCATTATGTAATTGATGAGCATTGATAATCCCAAAGACGTTATGCTCTATGATGCTGAGAGGTACTTTATACCGACTACATGCTCTGGGCTTTGTCTGAGGAAAAACCTATGAAGACAAAGGAACACCTCCAGAGTGTGTTTATGCTTTATGTGAGTGTGTCTCAGAGCCCCTACAGAATTGTGGATTGTGGGAATTTGAATGCTATACCTTTGTGTGCATGTTTTGCTTCTCCCACCGTCAACAGAATCCCACAGTGGAACGGCATTGATCAAAAGGAGGTCAGACAGGGCTATTGAACTGTCTTCAAAGACACTCTGATTAGTTGGATGGTAACACTGCACCCATTCATCTTCCATGGCAGCACAGGGCCCACCTGCACAATGCGGGCCGATACACAACACAACAGAGATGTGGCTAAAGGTCGGAGGCTGTTGTGAACAGCTAAGGACCTTAATATTAATTCATTCTAAAAGTGTGCCCACAGCCAGCCTGCTGCTAGTAACCACCCTCAGCGCTAATACACCACAATCTGCAAGAACAATCATTTCATACTACATTACCTCGCAATGCAATACCAAACAAATGATAACAGAAGGCTGCCAGAAAATCCATAAACTAATTCCTAGATGGGCTTCATCAAAATGTAAGAGCTGAATGTGTTAGGCAGTGTTAAATGTAATAAGTAAAACGCCTTTTATTCAGAATTGTATTGTCGTGAAAACAGTTTTTTTTTAGTACAGTGAAGCTTTAGAGTGTAGCTCCTTTGCAAATGCTAAAGAAAATGACAGTCCAGGGTCAATCAATACTTTAATACTAACAATGGATCAAATGAGTAGCTTGTTATTCCACATTCATTTGACACATTCACAGAAATATGTATCAGTGTGAATGAACATGGCTAGCTTTGGTCCAAATGGAAGAATCCAGATAATCCAGACCGCACTTGAAGTGAGGACAACATTGATCTTAATCAAGCAGTGGCAGCTGGTGTCTACTTCTCAGAGAGAGGGTATTGATGAAGGTAAGTGTTATTGACAAGCCTAACCTGGAAACACATCTCTCAGTTCAGGGAAGAAGCTGTTCCAATCAGCATAAGGTCAACTCCTAATTGTAGCTTCCTATGTTTATCTGAACGGTGCGATCGTGCTTCCCGTTTCTTAAGATCAGTGAAGTTCCTCGCATAACCGGGTCTACAGAAGACACGGCTTAATTCCTGAAGGTCAAAGCAGTCTTCGAAGTTTAAACGTTTTGCACACACGCATCCGATTCAGCAAATTGAGCTTTTGATGATTCCATGAGGCAAATCCTTCCAGATGTATTTGTCTAGTAGATGACAAGGAAATAAATTGAAGAGTCAACATGTAGTAATGAATGTTTCCAGAGAGCCAACATCGGGACGTGCTGTGCAGAATATCCAGCTTTGCAATACTCAGAATAAAAAAATAGCACGGCAATTTCTTGTTGTTTGCTTGAGATTGTACAGAGTTTTCCAAGGAGGAACCTACCCATTTATTTTACTTTAAAATGAAAAAATAGCACTATACATTACATTTATGAGTATGACAAGCACACACACAAGCATGTCTTATAGTGCAGTAACACACACAGCAGCCTTGACTCATATATCTCTAGAAACAATTTAGACTCCGTTTATATTATTTTTCTAATTTAAAACCATTTGATTTATGACACTATTGACCCGCTGTTTTAGTGCTTTGCATAAAACGGATGTGTATATTTACATTTATGAATGATTGTTTGGATGTGAGTGCATGCAGGCATTATCACTCTTACCTGTCTATGATTGCGCACATATCCAGGCTGACGTTCTCAAAAGCACCCATAATGCCTTTCTCCACCGCATGCATATCAGCCGGTTGGTCGTCCAGCAGGATCGCCTGCATGCAGCCCTGGAAGGAGCGCTGCGAGGGCGGGAAGAGCGTCTGGAGGAAATACCCTGAAACCAGCAAAATAAACCTTTATTATAGATTATTTTACACATTACAGTAGGGTGACCAGACGTCCCCGTTTTCCGGGGACAGTCCCCGTTTGTATTGCCCTGTCCCCGGTTGAAACTGTCGCCGGAAATGTCCCCGTTTTTTAATATGCGTTAAAAACACATAGCAACGTGAAATAAAACGTTTCATGTCAGGAAACACTGGGTAAACACTACAGACTGTGGTCAAGCCAGCCCCCACTTTGGAAAACACAGTCAAGCCAGCCCGCACGTTGTATTGCGGTCTGATTGCGGTGCGCGAATATCCTATGCATTACGGTAGAGGCCTGTAAAAACTGCCTTCAAAATAAAAGCGTTTACTCAGCCAAAAACAAATATACCTAAAAAACACACCAAACATATTCATATATACTGGAGCTTAAATTAAGAAATGTGTACTATATAATGTGATCAATAATAATTTAAAACATACTACGTATATAACTACCACATTATAACTGAGTGAATGTAAAATGTAAGGATAGTTATGAAGACATATCTGACATTTCCACTGGGTGACTCATTCAATTGATGTTGACACCATCTCACAACACTCCTAAAATAACATTACTTTCTGGAGCACAATTTAAAATGTATGCGGTTTAAAATCTCAAATTAGATCTATTGTCCATCTATATTTTGATTATTATTTAATGGAAACCGTCCATAATCAAAGAGTCATTCGAAGTCAATCAAATACTTACTTCACTTCAGGGTGATAGCAGGACACCCCATCTAATCACTCAGAGAGAATCAGGTGTTCAGTTTCAAAATAAAAGACCTTTGAAGTCTCATATATGAGCTATCGTCCTTCTGTTTGTATCCAACAGTTAAAATGTTCGAATTACATTGAACCAGAATTGTCCCCCTTTTTTCTTTAACAGTGAAGAAAATTGGATATGTTAATGAGATTTTGACCGCAAAACTCAAAATGTCCCCGGTTTTAATTTTGAAAATCTGGTCACCTTACATTACAGAGAGTTGGAGATGAATGAATTGAATACAGAAGATAATTTAAGGTGTTTGTGTTCGAGTGAAAGAATAGAATAGAATATATTTGTATTGTCATCATACAAAGTACAATGAAATGTCTTTGGCTACTCTCACTGCAGTAAAAGATAGACACAAATAAATAAGAGTGGTAAAAGCAGAGGTTGTAGCGATGACTGCAACGAGATCAAATCCAATGCCAATGTGCATATTTACACTTACAGTCTAAAAACTTGAAATGTACAAAACTGTATAAATGTAGTGTATCATAAAGGGTTGTAGTAACCAAAGGATGCAAGTAAAATAGCCATAAATATTTCTAAATAGTAGTGGTTGCAGTCTTTCGGAGGGAAAAGGGTGAGGGAAGATGACGATAAACAAGAAAAGATGGATTCCTTCTATCGACGAGTTGAAACACATCACGAGAAAACGACCTTCTGTAGAAGCAGACATCAGCTTTAACAACGACATCATCCTTGACGAGGAACAACAGACCAGCTTATTGTCACTTTTTAAAGCTGTGAACCTTCATCAGCCCTCCTGTTTTAGAGCTTACCCACAAGGCCCATTAGCCTTAATACAGGGCTGCAATACACTAGAGGACATATAGGTTTTACTATATACGCCACCTTTATGAGATACAAGAGTCAATGGCCCGTCCAGAGGCACTGGGCCTTGACTGAAAGCAGGACAAGGCTAGGACAAAGCCGAGTGCAAAAGGTGTGTGTGTGTGTGTGTGTGTATGCTAAAATCCATGGGTGTACAGTATAAGTGTGTGTGTGAATTCTACACTCTTTATGTGCGTGTGTGCTGTACAGCATGTGTGTCAATCTTCAGGCGTTATTACAGTATACCTGCCTTGTCAGATATGGGATACGAGGACCTGAAATTCAATCTTTGCCACAAGCACACAGGTCACTCATAAAACACTGCCGCTCAATGACATCTCCATCATCGTGGTGTTATAAGCTGTCACACTCTCCAGCATGCCTATTAGCCTCGAGGCCAATGCATCAAAAAGGCTTATTATGGAGGTCATACAGTATGCATCGTGTGTATATGTGTGTGTGTATGAGTGTGTCTGTGTGTATGAGTGTGTGTGTGTGTGTGTGTGTACCTATAGTGTAGTTTATGTGGGTGGTTTAGAAAAAAGCAGCATGAATGTAAAATGTGTGTTTCAGTTGGATTCCCTCTTTTCTTCACATCTTCTGATTTTATTTTCTGCCCCAGAAGTCTCTCTTGCCATCTGTCTCCTCTCCTGCCACACCTGTCTGCTGTCTTTCCAGAGGAGGAGGGGGAGAGACATACAGTGAGGGGGGAGGGATTGCAATAAGATGGGAGGCAGAGCAGACTGCACTTTGTATTCTGCGGGTTGTGTATGAATGCAAAGGAAATGCAGCCTTCCTGACAGTTTGGCAGATCCAATGGCGCAACGCATGGAACGACTTCATGGAGGAGCGCTTGTATGTTGCTAGGCTGTGAAAGATAACAGCGGGGGGCTGCTCTATTATTCCATCTAAACCACCAATTTAGTTTTTCCAATTTAACCGTACAAAATCGACCTACTTGTGTCACCTGATTTAGGTCTCATAGCTAAACAATATTACTGAAAACAAATAATTGTCTCCTTTTTGTAAATACATTTCTACTGAAGGTGTTTTTGCATTTGATAGATGGGCTTTGGATTCATTTCATTGTAGAAAACGTCTGCAAACTGGAGGATTAAATGAGTCTTGAATCTTAAAAGAAAAAATGAATTCTGTTATCCCTCGCCCTAATCTGCAATCTAATTTAAAGCACTTTCAGGTAACCACATTACTTCCTGTATCCCCACGTTGGCAGCTCCCTTGTGTCACTTTGATTAACACTGTAAATGTTCATCTGGGCATTGCATCATACTAATTTGTGCATTAAATGCATATAAGTAGGCTAAATTAGACTAAGAGGAAATGTATCCGGACTAGTCATGCTGTACATTTGGTCAAAGCACCATGTTTTCCCTTATCGCCGCTCTGAAGCCATGACCAGCAATGAATCATGGTATAATTCAGAACGCTGTATTGCGGCCGAAGTGACACACAGAGGAAGATACAGACTGAGATTAATGAGGCGCAGTCAAACAGAGACAAACACTTGGCAAACACAGCGGTCACACTTGTGTACATCACACTTGTGTACATCACACTGTCCAGGAGCTTAAAACCAGGCTAAGAGTCTCACCACATTTTATTTGTATTCCCGACAGCAATGACTTTAATTTGTAGTATAAACAAAAGCTCTATGTCTAAAACCCCTCTGGATCTGGAACAGCAGCAGTAATCCCTCGCTGTCTTGCTGGCACTCTATCACCCCCCCCCCCCACACACACACACACACACACACACCCTGCTACCTGAACACAATCTTAGGTTGAAAAGCATTTGCTTCCACATCCAGGCACATTTCTGAAGCTGGAAGTGAGCCAGAATAAAAAATGAAACAATTATTCAGAGGCTGCGATTCTGCAACACATTCAGAGGAGACTAGATGTGTTGCCAATAACAATATGTAGATTTGACGAAATTCACAGCAGGAAGTTCTTATCTATTAACCACCTGCTGCTAGTTGAAAACACAACAACCTGTAGGAGCAGCTTCAAACCAACATGAGGTTCATGTGCTGACAGACTCCTGCACATAAAGTCAAGAACAGTTTGTACTCGCTATGGTGGATTTGCACAAAACACGCAATGTGCCAAAGTGCAACGTACTGTACAATCAGCACAAACAGCTTGACAGGTGGACCTCCAATTCAACACTTCTTATAAAACCCAGAATCTATTGTTAGCTTTCTTCTATTACATTAAAAGTGAGTGTTCATTCCCACAAAAGTCTTAGGAATATATAAGTTTTTGACAGCTAAGTACATCCTTAAGAGACCTATAACCCAGCTGGAGTGTTTTCAGCACTGTAACACTTCATTTTAAAAGGTTTATTTCGTTATAGAACACTTTTAAATAGAAGGAAATGTTATGTTGTCAAATACTATAAAGCAGGCTTTCACTTCATCATTCACGTAAAATAAAAGTGAGGGAGAACATGACATTTACAAAATGGTGATAAAAGAGGCTATGAGCTAAGAAATGATTGAACAACTTGGCAGAGGTATATTAAATTGGTAAATAAGTTGAGATTGAAAAACGAATAAATTAAACTTTTTTTAAATGTATGAAACAATCAAATGCTTCGGGGTGGAACGTCCCATAATTGACTACTCTCTCATTAGTATATTCATTTGTGCCCTGTTCCCTGCGGAGGAAAGAGCACGACTTTATGGCCTGTGTACGTGGATCTGTGTTTGTGTGAGTGTCCGTCTCTCTCCAGAAATTCAATTTGTGGATGTCTCGTGTCAGTCACTTACTAATTTCTCTAAGCACAGCGTCGGGAGTGAGAAACTACTGCCCGTAAAATAGGCTTTGGCAAATAGGCTTTGGCTTCAGGAGGCTGCTTCTAAAAGCAGATGCTCCAAGGACGGAGGGGAGGAGAAGAGAGGAGGAGAGGGGAGGGGAGCAGGAGGAGGAAGGAGTCGACCCCGTTAAAGAGGATGAACGGAGTAAATGGAGGAGAAGAACAGAATTAAGAAAGATGACGGAGGCCTTTCACTGTATGAAAAACAAGAGCAATGTTTCTTATTAAGGAATTACTTAAAAACTTTATTTAAATAATGTTACAAACTAAAAAAGTTGACAGAAGTGAGAAGAATAAACACGGGAAGAAGTAATTGGCCGCATAATTTAGCCTTTCAACTCTTCACGAATGGTACTTGAGCTGCGTAAAGCCCATCACAGTCATGAAAATACATTAAGCATAACCACTTATGCAAATTAGGTCATTTATTACGTTAATTAAAGCACTAATTAACTATTTTTAAATGTCAGTACGCTTGTCTTCGCATTACAGCTCAACGTTATTAATATTAATGTTATCTAAGAGCATTAGGAAGCTCTGTTGTGTTTTTGAAAAATTACCTTTTCTTGATTAAAATGAATATTTATGCATAAAGCAAAGATTGAATGGGGACCTGTTAGATTGCTGTTGCAGAAGTCAAACAGAAGCCTCACTGGCAAAAAAAACACTTGTCTTTTGTATTCTTATTAATTGAATACATTATAATCAATTGTAGCAATGCCATCTTAACAAATACACATAAACAAATATTAAAGGGGCCTTATTATGATAATTTCAGGTTTCATAAATGTATGTAGTGTCTCTACTCGGACATGTCTCCATGTTTTAATGTTCAAAAAGCTCATACTCTTTCCACCCTCTGTCTGAAACCAGAGCCCAGTCTGCTCTGATTGGTTAGCTGCCCGGCTCTGTTGTGATTGGTCGACCGCTCAGAGATGTCCCACGTACAATGGGTTAGAGCGCTCGCCAATAGAAGCGCGAGTGTTGCATAGTGATGTCAATAATTCACCATTGTGAAAACCCCAAAAGCAAAAATAGGGCCCCTTAAACTTACTTACATACTTATGTCCAATTATATGACAGTAGTGTAAAAATACATCGCAGTCTGAAACTGTTGGGGTGCTAATTTGCGAAAATAAAAAAATCTTCATTGTGTTTCTTTAAGAGCCAAGTGATTTGTATACAGTCCAATGAAGTGTTATAAGCAGTTTTACCAAAGTCTGGTTCACTCTCTGGTCACTGCTCAACAGCAAAGTGAAACACAGCAGATTGATGCCTTAAAGCGGTGAGAGTGAGCAGATGGCCACCTGGACGACTGAAGCTACATAAATGACTCCCAGCATCAATCTGCAGCCTCTTCCTGTCTATAGAAGAACAATTCGTGAAGCCGAGGGGTTTCTGCTAATTGCGGCCCACTGACAGAACAGTCACATGTATAAAGTGCTGATGGGATATTGTTAGAGAGCTTTTGGACAGCTTAATGCAGCCGCCTCTCTGACTCATGAAGCTCAGCCATCAGAGAGACTAATTGAGGGCAAGCCAGAGGCTAACCCATCTTTTGTACACTCACTAAATTATTCGGTCACCTCTGTGCCTGCATGGAAATTAGCCCCTCAATGTGATGGGGCGGAGGGTTTGGAATAAATGTTTTAGAAATTCTGTCCGAGTTGTCCGAAAAGTGTGTTTCTGTATCCGAGTTTTAGCGCATTTGGTCAAAACACACACACACACACACACACACACACACACACACACACACACACACACACACACACACACACACACACACACACACACACACACACACACACACACACACACACACACACACACACACACACACACACACACACACACACACACACACACACACACACACACACACACACACACACACACACACACACACACACACACACACACACACACACACACACACACACACACACACACACACACACACACACACACACACACACACACACACACACACAGGCTGTCATTGCAAGTATGTGGTAATGAGAAGGCAACAGAAAGTAAAATCATATCATGGAACATGGAAGACTCGGATGCTGAATAAATCTAAAACCAAACCAGATTTTCAAAGAGTTAGGAGCAAAATAATTCCCGGAGAAACCTCGTGTCTGAACTGGTTGAAATGGCTCCAAACACGTCTTCCTAAAACTTCTCCCGCAGCCTGTGAAGCGGCGTCCCAAATTCTCTTAGTAGTCCTTGCCACAGTAATAATCAGCAGATCTGTGGCCCCTGCAGCGTTCAGACGTGTGTTTACCACCAGGCGGCCCCGCTGCTCAGGATGCATCATGTCATGTAAAACTAAGTATCAAGTAAAACCCCAGACACAGCTGCTGCCAAAAGCCTTATGCATGTTGCATGGGGGGAAACGACTGAAACAGCATAGTGGTATTTCTCTGTAGTGTAGCTATGCATGCATGAGAGAGTATGCACATGGGACAAGTAAAGCAAGGATTTGTTGTCAGTATTTTGTATAAAGCACATATCGTACAGTGTGTATCTACCTGTCTGAATATGTGATAACGTGTATTTGGAGCCCTATGTTTCCTCTGAAGCCGTGCAGATTCTGCCTCTGGGATTTTATGTATGAATGTCACAATTCCTCTCAGCTGGTAAGAATATATTGTTCACTTCCCCTTGTCTCTTAAGCCTAGCACTGACATAATAACCTGCTCTCTTTTACATTTCTCTGCCACAAACTTTCATTCCTGATCTCTACTTTTCAGTTTGACTCTTCCTTTCTCTCCCTCTGCCTCCTCATCCCTCTTCTCGAGGTGAAGACATTACAGAGATCCTCTCCTCTCAGCCTCTATTGATTTCCAACTCAGCTTACTAAAATCAATAAATCACCAATTGGATCAAAACGAGACGAGAGGGTGAGGCGGAAGAAGTGTGGAGAGGAAAAGGAAAGTTGGAGTGAAAGAGGGATAAGCCATAATAAAGGATTAAGTGTTAATATTGAGTGATTCTGCAACACGCTGGATTAAGGAATACTAAAAAAATGAGAGTTGAGGATGCTTCCTGAGCGAAATCATGGCCTCACAAGCTCAGGTTTTTATAAATAAAAGCAGAAACTCATCACAGGCTTCAGGGCGCTTCACTCACAGTAAATTAAGACGGACAATAAAATAATCAGGATGTGTGTGTGTGTGTGTGTGTGTGTGTGTGTGTGTGTGTGTGTGTGTGTGTGTGTGTGTGTGTGTGTGTGTGTGTGTGTGTGTGTGTGTGTGAGAGGTGCTCTGATCTTTATTGACTGGCCTGGGGGAAATGGTCTTGTTTGATGGAGGAGATTATTCTCTGATAGAAAAAGGGAGAGAGGAGCCATCAGAGCCCAGACTATCTCTCTCAGTTACTGTAATTTCATACAGGTGCCACCTCTCACACACACACACACATGCACACACACACACACACACACACACACACACACACACACACACACACACACGCACACACACGTGCAGACTTAGACACGGACCATCTTCCAACAGACGGACAGCAGTGTCTGGCATCATTAACCTGGCGTCTTCCTAATTCAGACAGATTGTGGCTGCTGCTTGTGTGTGTGTGTGTGTGTGTGTGTGTGTGTGTGTGTGTGTGTGTGTGTGTGTGTGTGTGTGTGTGTGTGTGTGTGTGTGTGTGTATTTCTGGTGATGTGGTTGTGTCTGAGCTCTCGCTAAGTGAGAAAATTCCTGAACTCTGGCCACTGGGATATAACATTGTAGAGATAAATGATTTTTAGACATATTACGCCGCAAACACACAGACCAATAAAACGTTTCTTGGAACACATTGAGGACAGTGGCCCAAAGGGATTGTTCTATGAATTGTCAATAAATATTGTTTTACAGTAGGCAGGTAGACGCTTGTTGGCTAGTGGGGATCTGTAAGAGTTAGCATTGTGTGCAGTTCATAATAATGCTAACAATCATTGAAGGCAAAGAGTATTTGGACTTGAAGATGGCTAGAAAGACATGGAAAGCAAATCTTGTTGATGTTGTAGAGACAATTGGAGTTAAGATTGAACCTTTAAGATAGTTCATGGTTACCTATTAAATAGTGCAGTAAACTGGAGGGAAACGACTTGTGAGAAAGCATGATGACGGCAGACAGAAGTTTCTAGCAGCTGGTTAGGAGCCTTGATTTCTAGACAACAAAGCTACCAAAAACTAAAGTTGCATGATAATATTGCTTAGAATAACTCAAGAAGCCGACTGACACCAAATCCTGAATGAAAAGTGATGTAAACTGGATTCTGTTTCATGATGATGTCCCATTTTTACAACATTCTTACATCAGTAAGCATTCTGACTCTGATGCCTCAATATCTGCCTCCCAGATGTGCACTGGAGAGGAATGTGATGTGGTGACTATACATGGAGTTGAGGGTGAAGGGTTTTTGAAAATGTTGTGGGAAAGGTGTTTGCGTGACCCTTACCTCCTAAGTGGTAGGTTCCTCCCGTGGTGATGGTGAGAGGAGAAGTGGAGCGCACTGCAGACGCCTCCTCGCCATCTATAGTCAACATGGCAAAGTTCTCCCTGGCAACCAAACGTATGGCGTGCCATTGGCCGTCGTTGAGGCCTGAACCTGGAGCGGGGCAAACATTAAAACACCTTCAGAAAACACACACTGCAAACTGTGAACAACTCTTGCTGAGAACAAGGTTTAGTTGATAGATTTGAGTATTTCCGGTGAGACTTTGATTCCGGCAAAAACATAATGATCCAAGTCAAATAAAAAAGCACCAGCACATTATTTAATTCATGACCAGGTCCACATTGAAGCCTGGTGAACTTTGTTATAGGAGAATAGAGGAGAAAGTTAAGGACCCGACATAAGAAAAAGACGACTGGAGGACTCAGAGGGATGTGGGGGGTGAAAGTAGGAAATACAATTTCAGTGAGTGATGTGTGGCTATCTCTCTGTTTACTTTCTACATTGAACTGCTGTGTTTTTCCCTGATGCCTCCATCTCAGCTGCCTGGCGAACGTGGCTTCAGACAGAGGGGAGACATTCTGTAAAGAAACATCTTCCTGTCTGTACCGCATGTTTTCTTCACTTCACATGCTCCCAAACTCTTCCTCGCTTCTCTTTTGTTCCTTCGTTCTCTCCCCCAGCTTCCAGTCTCAAGGCCTCGGTGTCTCGACTCCATTAACTCTCAGAAAACCCTGTTTGCATCTAAGTGTGTGTGTGTGTGTTTTCTATCCGTGCATCAGAGTCCTGCACGGGTCTGATTTTCAAGACCCGCTCCCGCCCCGCACCCGCGACGTGCAATACCGAACCCGCCCCGCTACCCGCACATATTGCCAATTAGTTCCGCAACCCGACCCGACCCGTCGGCACAAGATCCGCAACCCGACCCGAACCCGCATAGCCTATGAGCAGTGAAAACGTGCAATTATTAACACACGCAGTTTCATATTTGTCTCAGAAAGCGTGGGATGTTAGTTATTTCCTCCATCTAGGAACCAGAAGCCTCCCAGACGCTGGATTTCGCTCTTGAGGAAGTGTTATTGAAAATGCTGTATTATCCGCTAGAGAGCTTCACCTCAGCCATTTCGAATGTGGCGCGCACAGCAGCAGATGTATGCGCTGCAGAGGTTATGATTATGCGCGGTCCCGCGGGGGAGAGGTCTGAGGATTTTAAACATTAAACTAATTTATTATTATTTTAATATATTTATTATGCAATACCCGCGACCCGACCCGCATCATCTTTGTTTTACCCAGAACCGAACCCGGAAAAAAGCGCTTGAAAAAATACCACCCGCGAATCACCTTTTTTGCGGGTCACCCGTCGGGTACCCGTGGGTACCCGACCCGATGCAGGACTCTGCCGTGCATGCAGGCTTTGAGCACTCTGCAAGTGTGTACACGCTGTCTTTATATGTCAATGCAGTGTGAGTTTGTGTGAGTGTATGCAAGTTTTGTGCTGTCCTTTCTCTCTCTTCCCTTGTAGCCGTGCTCCATTAAATATGAGTGATGTTTTGGAAAGGGACATTACTACTGCAGCCGAGAGAGAAGCCGGCTCACTCTCATCACCCTCCTCTCTATACATCACCTCCCACTGACACCAATCTCTATTCATCCTTCCCTCCCTGCCTCCCTCTCTGTCCCTGATTCTTTCTCCCGTCGCTCCATCTTTATTTCCTTTCCTACATTTCACTTTTCTCTATTTTCTCTCTGTCTCCTCTCCACTCTTGTGGTCATCTGCTGCATTGTCTGTCTTTTTGTATTCAGCTCCACTCCCTGCTTCACTGACCGCAATGCATCGATAGTGAGGACACAGTTCAAGATACGGTCACATGTCAAAAATCCATTGCAGCAGAGTGTATTTACTCATGGATCAGTATGCAAGTCGATACACATGTACCTCAACTTGCTGCATGTGTCGATACATTGGACATGTAAGAGTGTGTGCGCTCAGCCTCTCAAAGAGACACTTTTTTTATTTCCTCCCAGAATGCACTCTGAGCGCCTGGAGTTCGTGTCAGTAGGGAGTCTACACTAATTAATCTCCATCAGCAGGGGGACAATTCACGTGTGTGTGTGTGTGTGTGTGTGTGTGTGTGTGTGTGTGTGTGTGTGAGTGATCATGAAAGTGACCACAGGACTTAAGAGCCAAGGTGGCCGCCTGCTGAGAGGTGTGACCGCTGTGGCCTTGTTCAGGGCGATGCTGGTTGAATATGCACACGAAGCAGTTCAAACATGGATGTGATTATGCATATACAGCATTAGGCCGTTAATTTAGGTTGAGCAACAGCTTGAAATAAATAATGACAGAGAAGCAGAGGAAGCTTTTTCTGGATATGATATGTTCTGGTTAAAAGTGCTGCTTCACTGGCAATCTCATTTCCGCCTGTATATAGTTTTGATGTAATCACTAACAAGCTTTGTGCTCCATCCCCTCCCCTTCTATAACCTCTGAAACGTAATGGAAAATAGCTACCGAGTAACCTTGTGTCCCCTCATCTGTTTTACATCACCTGCAATAGCTTTGAATGATGAGCTTATGTGTGATGCCGGTGTTATTGAATCTTCCCACTCACTGCTGCACGGAAGCAAACAAAGACACACAAATATGTGGTGCAATCGTTCTGTCACACACACCTAACACAAAGGCCCAAACACCGGCTGTGAAGCAAAGATAACAAATAATTGAGATAATAACGGAGTAAAAGGAGGAAGATAATTGTTCAGATTTGAGGAGATAAGACTGTTTCATGGCTTTTTGCTAAAGAGAGGGAAGCTGACCACTGCTCTGTTTTTGTTTTTGAATTAAATCAAAAATTGGCTCACTTCTCACATCCTCCCTTTGAACACTCATTAGAAACTGTGGCAAGAGTGTATTCCCAACAGAAAATTAACCCTTCAAACATCCGAAAGGGTACATTTATATTCACAATTCCATTCAAGGATTTTTTACTGAACATTATTCATTATTTATGAATGCAGTCAGATTTTAATAGACTGAATTTGCCATGTTTTCTTGAATTCTAGATAATAACACACGTTAAATTGAGCTACTGCCCTTCTGGATAAACAAGATGAAGGATGATGTTTATGAGAGCTCTACTTATTTCATAGTGGCATACTGTAATAAACACAACTTCATGTTATTAAATACCCACAATTAAACACCAAAGTACGATTTCCCTTTTTACTACTCTTTTATTTGCAAGTACCTTCATCACTTCAAGTGTTATTTGTAAAAATAAAAGTGCTATCCCTTTAAGACATTTCACCGAGTTGGCATTGGAGTCATTGGAGTTACACATGTTCAATAAATAAACTATACTCTTTTATATAACTTATCAAATGTCATAAAAAGGTACAATATAAGTTATATCTCTTGAAACCAAAACCAACAGAGACGGCAGTAAAACTGAGACCATGACTTCCTGTTCCATCGAAACACACACACACACACACACACACACACACACACACACACACACACACACACACACACACACACACACACACACACACACACACACACACACACACACACACACACACACACACACACACACACACACACACACACACACACACACACACACACACACACACACACACACACACACACACACACAGTTTATTTATCTTATTTATTTTTTAAGGGAAACCATTCTTGCATAAACAGCTGTGGTCGTTGTATCAGCCTCGCTTCCTAAATATGGTCAGGGTGGGCCTTCTTGTCCCAACCCAGCACATTATAAATAATAGGTGAGGTGTTTGGCTCACAACACCTGTGGTCAGCGGGAGACACACTTTTAAATCAGATTCTATTTCATTTCTTCCAGGTATTTGTGGCGGCTGAGGTTTTACAATGAGGGGTGCTGTGCTGCTGCTGGTGCTGCTGTTCTGTGCGTCTGCAGAGGGCGGAGGAGTGGACCGAGGTTCACAGAGCAGTGTGCTGGCTGAGAGGGAAATCTGGAGTGAGCTGAGAGCTATAAAGAACATGGTGGGGGAGCAAGAGGTTGAGCTGCAGACCCACAAAGACAATGTTGCCAGTCTGGAGAAAGATAACCGAGGCAAGATATCAACAGTATCTGTGATGTTTAGGATGGGGTTGCAATGATAGATAATACACCAAATGATATTCTACTTGGGTAGTAAATTCCCCAAAAATGTGAAAAAAGTTAATCACAACAAGAACATATTCACATTTGAGAAGCTTAAACCAATGAGCATTTTTGATTTAAGAAATACTTGATTATCAGCTAAAGTGCTGGAGGATTTGAGTCCTCTTTATTGTGACACGCACACAGTAAAGCACAAAGAGTACAATTTGGACTCTGCGTATATGAAAAATGCGGAGGAGGCTGAGACAGTGATTTCTGAAATGGCAGAATACAATTATCAAAATTACAGACTTGGTGATACTAGGACATCTTGAAAGAGCGGTTGAGAAATGATTGTCTCTCATCCTGACAGCCCTGGTTTCCAGAGTCTCAGCCAGCGAGGAGCAGCTGACGGCTCTCAGGGCGGAGCTGGAGGTTTCTAAGAATGAACTTCAGCTGACCAGGAACACGCTGGATGAGACTGGAATGAGATCAGGTATGATAACAGATGGTCAACCTTAAAACAATAAAAGACTAAACATAAAAGTGACTTGTGACTTCCCCGTGAAAATAACCATGTGTTTACTATTGGTTTATTTAAAGGAATGGTATGCTCATGACACTCATTTTAAAATAATGTATCATCCGATAAAACAGACCAGTCTCTGCCAGTCTCTCTTTCTTTTTTTTTTAATCCGATGACATTATCAGTGATTTTAAACTGATTAATTACCGAAATAACATCAACACTGTGGGCGGCGCCATTTTACCGGACGTGACGTAAACCATGCGTTTGGTTTCGAGGACACGTTGATGTTCATGTTATTTACTGTAGTTACTCTCTTCACATATGCCTCATTGTATCGCGAAACATTGCCACAATTCTGATAGGAACAATCCACGGAATGCTCGGTTCCATCTGTTGCCAAAACGGAAGCGTAGGAAGTACGTTCGGAGGCAGTGGCTAGCGAAATGTGGCCGGCCCGAACCGAAAGATCCACAGGCGCATGTATGCAG